AGGTCGAGCGGGAGAAGGTCCAGGAACATTAAAATCCTGTTCATTATCAGGTCGAGCAGGAGAAGGTTCAGGAACATCTTGTTCATTATCAAGAGCAACTGTTCTTCTTTTTCTGTTAGCAATAGTATGTTCATTGTTCAGTCTAGCCACTGTCCTTTTTCTAGGTTTAGGAATGGTTATATTAGAATTATATCCCCCGTCAAATCTCTCGTCATCAAAATTTGAATTATCTTCTTTGGGTGGTTCGGAATGAGCGTATGAAAAATTCTTCATCACGCTCCACTTCGTGGAAAATTTCATAAGATCATTATCTTTTGCTAGTATTTGATTATCAATCTCCAAAATAGCTTGAAGTAAACTTTCCTTTTCCGTTTGATAGTTGGAAATGTCCTGCCTCTAAAGATAATATCAAGTATAATTAGGAATGAAATATAATAATCATACTAAAAGATATCTTAAACATGGAAATTACTTACTATTTCATATTCTTGTTTTACATCACTCCAATAATTTTTCAAATCTTGGTCGCAACGAAGACATTCCAACCTGACCTGTTATTGAAAAAAAGGATCATCAGCAGTGTGCAAACATTTTACTTTATGATAAAGGAAAGACACATAACCAATTCCTTCTACAGAATTGGTAGACTTTTACCAACGACAAAGATAGAACGCCTGAAATAGAGGACCTGGAGTGGTTACCAGGCTGTCATACCCAGTAATTCTTTGATTCAAAAGTATACACCCTCGAACAAAAGTTATTCTTCCTCTGCAAAGTAAAAAGAAACACACCTTTTTGCTCAAATCATCAAAATTATCTGGATCAATCATTTTCGCTTCATCCAAAAAGAAAGAAATCCAGCCATTGTTAAGATCCCTCCAATTCATATTTGTAGTTAATGAAGAAACAATAAGCTCTCGGTAGCGCAAAAGGAAACTCCAAAGAGATTTGTTATTGCGATTCTGTAAATAAAAAAGAAGAACATCATGAACAGCTTGAACATTAATATTATTAGGAGGCATAATGATTATACGAGAAAATTATATTTATAAAAGAAGAAGCGTTGAAATTATATAACAAAAAATCATAAACTAACCACTGTTATATGTAGAATCCTGATCATCCACGCGTTTTTACGCGTCTCTAAAATACCGTATACTTCCTAAAATAAGCATCCCGTCCAGTGACAGTTAATTAACCATTTTGGTTAATTAACGCCCATCCCTACATGATTGGTCTTTTTAGTTACACATGTGCTCCGGACTTAATGGCAAATGATTGGAGTATATCACATGAAATGATGTTAAGTGATATACTCCACTGTTCCCTAGCTTTATTTGTCACACCAAACTAACCAATCTATATATATAAAACGCGAGCCATTCGTGAAATTCCACTAATTATAGGAAATTTATTAATAAAATTAATCGACAGGAATTCCTGGAAATTCAAATTTTTTGGCAAGACAAGCAGGCAATAAAAAAAATCCGTTATTAAAAATTCCATTCTTTAAAAAAATTTTAAAAATAAATTCGTGGCGAAATAAAAAAAGCAAAATTAAATAAATTATAGGGGTATATTTCCGGGTTTAATTAAATTAAAAATAAATATTAATAAAATAATTGTAAATATTTTTTTCCCCCGAATAATAAAATCAGGATTAAATTTTCGGAATAATAAAATTAATTAAGGATGCGGTATATAAAATAATTAAAAATTGCCTTATTTATAATTAGAAATAAAAATAAATAATAACGGATTTTAATTAAAAAAAAATATATATATATATTTATAAATAATAACGGATTTTAATTAAAAATATATATATATATATATATATTTATAAATAATAATACGGGTTTTCATTTAAAAAAAAATTTAAAAAAAAATCGCCATTAAAATTTAGCATTTTAATAAAATTAAATCCCAGAAATTAAAAGAATTAAATAAAATTAATAAAAAAAAATCAGAAAATTAATTAAATTAAAGTAATATAAAACAACTAATAAAAAATACTATTTAATTAATAACTATTAAAATAAAATAAAAAATAAATAAATTAAATTAATTGGTAACAAAAAAATTAGCAAAATTAATAAATTAAAAAAATAAATCAGCAAAAAAATTATGCACTAAAAAAAATATTTAAAATTGTGATGTGATTACTTTATAATTTACAATAAATAATATAGGTTTGGTTAAGATTTTACCATGTAGTGATAAAATCCTAATCAATCATATATTATTATTGTAAACTATTTATTAAATCAAAGGTTTAGATTAGGTTAAAATTAGAATTAGAATTACGATTAATTAGAATTATTGTTAAGATTAGTGTTAGTTAAAAATAGGGTTATAGTTAGAGTTAGGATTTGAACTTTTATTAAAATTAAAGTTAGGGTTAGGTTTATAGTTTGGGTTAAATTAAAATTAATATTAGGTTTTGGGTTTAGTTTGGTTTAGAATTAGAATTAGGTTATCATAATTCTTTTAATCATAATAAAATAGTTCATACACACTTCCAAAGGTATTTTTTTTGATTAATATTCTAATGTTGTATTCTTATCAATTTGGCAATTTCTAACCAATTGATATATATTTTTGATATTTTTAGATTAATCATACTTTTGCAATTTATTACTAAATAATTAATAAGAACATATTGTAACCCAAATGATCTTCAAAGAAACAGAAAATTGTGGTATAGTAAAACATGATCTGCAATATGATCAACATTGTAGATCACAAATTAATTTACAAGAAATTATGACATAATGATCTGTATAGATGATTTATGAAATTAACCAAATCAATTAATGAAAATATGAAATAATAAATCATTAGCTCATAATAACACATGTAACTTTCTAAACTAGAAACTTCAAAAGAGAACTTCAATAAGAAACTAGTCAAAGACTAAGTATTATGCCCTATAAATAATATGTATAAGGAAAGTATACGGAAATAATACGTTTAAAAAACGTATAATAAACGTAAAAAAACAGTATAATAAATTCGTAAATATTTCCGTATACTAGATACTGAAAATCGTCTTTTTCCGTATGCAAAAACAT